ATAGTCTTATATTGGGGTTTTAATACTAAGTATTGACACACACACACATATATATTTTTTAGACCAAGAAGGGGTACCACCTCTGGTGCAAGTGTAGGGACCCATAGCCTCGGAGAAGAAAATAAAGAGTACTCAGAGAAGACCTTGTGGATCCTCACTAAACACTTTGATATTTTCTCCTCCTACCTCCCCTATTCTTTTGGTATGTGTGTATATATATCTAACTTTATTTGAAAATTTCATTATACCATTACATTTTATTACATTACATTAATTTCATTTTTTTTTTTTACGAAACACAGTTTGACCTCTATCGGCACGCAGGTGAATACGATCCCCGCCGCGGAGAATCGTTTTTTACAACCAAATACACATTTTACTGTTGAGTTAAACAGAGGATGCAGTTAAGGATTTGCGCCCAGTAAATCCTCCCCGGCCAGGATACGAACCCATGACAAAGCGCTCGCGGAACGCCAGGCGAGTGTCTTACCACCACACCACAGCGACTGGTGCTCTTATTAACCATTAATCCCACTTGGGATTAATGGCATCTTTGTATTTAAATAACCAACATTTTGAGCCGAATACGAATCCCGGGAAGAGCTATTCACCTAACTGTAAATAAATACCGTGGAGTTAGTTAACTGTTGTGGAGTGCATCCTGAGGAAGGTCAGTGGTTGGTCTATGGCAAGCTTCGATAACCCGATAACAATATTGTTTTAATGTTGATGACGTCAATCCAGTATACATTGCATTAATGTAGTCCTCGTGGTGCAGTGGTAACACACTCACCAGACGCTTTGACTTGGGTTCGTATCCTGGCCGGGGAGGATTGACCGAGCACCAATCCTTAACCTGTGTTCACCCAGCAATGAATGGGTACCTGGTTGTTAAACGATTTGGCGGGTCGTATTCCAGGGAATATTAGGATACAGGACCTGCCCGAAACGCTATGCGTGCTATAGTGGCTTTACAATAATGTAAGAACTCTTGTGTATATAAATAAATAACAAAGAAAACAATGTTGATCCAACGTTAATAAACGTTACTCGAGCATTTTTGACAGCTGGGTTTGCTCGAGTAACGTTTATTCAGCTTTGAAAACGTTGTTACTGCATCATTTGGCCAGGATCAATTTTTACTGTTGCGTCGAGAAAATCTACTGAGGTAGTGGCATAGAATCTACGTCCCAGGTCAGCCTTGGGGGACATAAATATATTATGCTATTGTGATTTCATTGTGTATGTTGCTTCATTTCCTTCTCCTCTATAGCTACTGAACTAGTAAATAGGATCTAAAACCTGCACCAGCATGAATATGCTAGGTTAGGTTGGGTTAGGCTAGGCTATCTTGAAGTTATCTTAAGATTTCGGGCCTTAGCATCCCCGCGGCCCGGTCCTCGACCAGGCCTCCTTTTTGTTACACATTCCCCCAGGAAGCAGCCCGTAGCTCTAACTCCCAGTTACCTATTTACTGCTAGGTAACAGGGGCATCAGGATGAAAAAAACATTTTGCCCATTTGTCTCCGCTTCCACCAGGGATCGAACCTGGAACTCAGGCGCTCTACCTGACAGGGTACGTTAGGTTATGTTAGGTTATGTTAGGTTGGATTCATCAACAACACACCACCAGTTGACATCCGCCCGACGGCGTCAGTACTGAACTCCTCTACTCAAGTGAGGAAGCTCTGGAAGTGTTTTTTCCAGAACACCATGTCGTTCTTCAAGACTCTGACCTGATCATCTTGCCTACCCGTCGATACCTGGCTGATAGAACCACCTTTGTCAGCCGCACCAGCGTCTTCATCGCCACCAAGGAACCTGATACCATACTATCAAGCATCAACATCAGGAATATGGTTCTGACCGCAAAGTCACTAAGAACGACAACCTACGACGTACCCTGAAGGTGACCTTCTCTACAGCTGCAGCAGCGACCCAAGCAGTGGAAAACGGCTTCAGATGCCTGGACATATCAATCACCCCGGACACCGTCAAGAAAGAACGCTACCACCTCCTACGCCAATGCTTTAAGTGTTATAAGCCCGACCACTACACCAGGAACTGCGAACTCTCCGAGGGGAAAATGGTGCATCTGAATTGAAATTCATTACTACAAAGACTGCCAGTCGACCACCCAACTGTGCATCAACTGTGGAGGACCACATACCACTATCTCCCTTGGACTGCCCCCACAAGAACTAAAGAAATTCAGAAATCGGCAATCACCAACCACCAATCAGCCGGCGAGCTTCAACATCCATCCAGGCCAGGACGTTCTTAGCACTACCCAACTCCTCTGCTACGACGACGTCCGCACCAGACCAGACCAGACCCCCACCCTCCAATGGGGGTCCAGCACACAAGCAACAGCAATCCAGCCCACCAAACAACCAATCAGCAGCCCCGGCCGCCACCACTCTGGTCCCTGTACTGATCCACTATACGGAGGGGGGCCTCGTAGCCTGGTGGAGGGGGGCCTCGTAGTCTGGTGGATAGCGCGCAGGACTCGTAATTATGTGGCGCGGGTTCGATTCCCGCACGAGGCAGAAACAAATGGGCAAAGTTTCTTTCACCCTGAATGCCCCTGTTACCTAGCAGTAAATAGGTACCTGGGAGTTAGTCAGCTGTCACGGGCTGCTTCTTGGGGGTGGAGGCCTGGTCGAGGACCGGGCCGCGGGGACACTAAAAAGCCCCGAAATCATCTCAAGATAACCTTAAGATAACGGAGAAGCTGGCAGTAACAGTCATCCCTCTCCCTTCCCCCCAATTTGATGTCCAGGTCCTTTGTACATCAAATCGAAAAAGAAAAAGAAATCACAAAGTACGTTGAGATACTTGACACTGTTTGTGGCAAACGGACTACCCAAGATGTTGGGTCCAGCGGATTTACTACAGACCCTACAAGCTACCTCAACTCAACCAGAACAGACCCCCAACAACAGCAGCAACCGTAGCAACAACAGGACCAGCAGCAACAATACTAGCATTTCTGTGTCTTCTAACAATACCAATGACACCCCCCCCCCCCAAGAGGCAAAACTGACAATAGGGCTTCACCAAGCGGCTGCATCAGCAACAGAACCAGCAACTCAGAGGAAGACGAGGAACTTGAAGAACTTTAAGTCTCCTATATTGAATCCGAAACTGAAGGCAATAAATGCAAGGTAGACAGGAGACGCCCTTGCTACTGACTTTACATCATGGAGGAAGCCAACTTAAGGGCAACAGCAGCTCCAGAAGACAACTTACCCTAAAATGCAACCAGATCATCGCACACTTGGAATAGCACACTTTTCTATCACGTTATTGTTCAAACTTTGTAGTGACATTACCCCAATTTCTTGTTGGTAAAATTTTAATTTCCAACTATAATGACCCTACATTTATTGTATATTTCTGCTATTTGATCATATATTTTGTAATAAATAGTTGACCAGGTTGCTTGTACATTATGGTTATTTTTATTAAATTATCTTTTATTTCTATGGATATGAAGACAATATCCAATTTACCTTTTACAATATGATTTGAGAATGTTTTAATATAATAACATGAATTTAGACTTAAAAGGTTTGTTGAAGCACCAACTTTTCGACAGTTATTTAGTCATCTCATGCTTAATGTTTAACTTTGTTTTTTCCTCTCACGCACCTCTCTAGCTATCTGGTCGAGTCACATCAATATTACCTCATGGCAGTTTTCCTGAACCAACACCCGGGCACCATTATTAACTTGGCTTGTACACTAACAGACCTCATCACTCAATTTGTCAATATCTACCCTTAATATAAGGCAGAGTTCATATAAAGCTTGATGGGATATCATGACATGGACCGTAGCGTAACACAAACACACTACAGTACTTCAACATTACTACCTACCGATTCGAGTACTGCAATTAAACAGTTAAAAATTCATTGGAAATGAAATTGTCATTCAACGGACTACATTAAAATATTTGGTATAAGTTAGTGGGCCAGATAAAGCAAAAACGTATCATTAGATTTAATATAGCAAAATGTTTGCTTCCCTTCTTTTGCTTTGCAAAATGTTAGCCGGTCGGCCGAGCGGACAGCACGTTGGATTTGTGATCCTGTGGTCCCGGGGTCGATCCTGGGCACCGGCGAGAAACAATGAGCAGAGTTTCTTTCACCCTTTGTCCCTGTTACCTAGCAGTAAAATAGGTACCTGGGTGTTAGTCAGCTGTCACGGGCTGCTTCCTGGGGGTGGAGGTCTGGTCGAGGACCGGGCCGCGGGGACACTAAAGCCCCGAAATCATCTCAAGATAACCTCAAATCAAATCATCTCAAGATAACCTCCTTTGTTACAATGTCAGATTAATAATTTCTCTGTCCACTTCTGAATATGATTTGTCTCGAGTTCATAAATTTTCACTTTTGCACCTACTGCTGTTACAACAGAATATGTATGGGAACTCGCAGCCTTAGATGTGGCTGTGAAAGAGGTGCCAGATAAGGGGGGTCAGTTTTTATAAATGTAGGATCAGTCAGAATCAGCAAATTCAGAAGAGGTGGACAGAAATCATTTATCTGGCATTGTAACAAAAGGAGGGAGGCAAACTTACTGTTATTTTAAATTTAATGATACATTTTTGCTTTATCTGGGTCACAAACTTGTACCAAATATTTTAAGGTAGACCGTTTAGATGAAGATTTCATTTGGGTCTGTCGTGAGGGTAACAATTGGTCGACATTGTTCAAAGTGACACATCAGTCATAGGACTACAAACTCCCATTGTCAGAGTCCAGTAGTGGGTCTTCAGTATGAGGAATATTAACATTAAAATGTAAAAGAACTGAACAGACAAGTTTAGTTAAGGACAGTGAAGTTCAGTGAATTGAGGTGGCCTTTGTTGTCCAGACACCCTATTCTGTATGCCCATTGTTATTTTCCAGTTGAGGAATTTTTGTACCCCAACAAGCGTTTCTATATACCAAGGCTCTACTTATTGTTTGGAAGAAAATTAAAATACTTAAAACATTGAATTTGGCTTTTTATTAATAAACATACTAGAAACATTTTTTTGGAACAGTTAACTGTGCTAAACATATCTTGTAAAATAAATTATACAGTATAAAGTTGTAGAAAAAGCCTCATGGTAAATGTTTAAAATTTTACTGTAAATATTTACAAAAGCTAATTTTGCTTATTACATATGAATAGATTAGAGAGTTTTTGTTCTATTACTTTTAGAATGAATCACAGCGGCTAAACACTATAGCACACTATAACAAATCAAATTAACATTTAACTGCACTAATTAGTAAGCATACATTTATATTTGTTACGCTAATGCCACGGTACATGTGCCGGATGTGCCGTGGGTGCCAACTTGAAATATCTTGCCGTGTGTTGTGACATGCCAGTTGTTCCCGACTGCTGTGAAGAACCCCCCGAAGTCCCAACCTCTGCCACATTCTCTACAGCTTCACCACGGAGAGTTGAGATACACTTCCATATGTCAAGATAATTTGCTGAAAATAAAATATTTCTTATAATACTGAGGACATAAGTCTTTATGCTCTCAACTGACATTCAGACATACAAATACTAGTATTTCATTAGCTAAGTATTTGCTCCCAATGGCTCCTAATTTAAGTCAGTCGATATGAATAATACAAATTCCGATTAAGGCTTTCAGCCACTCTGTGAATCCCATTCACTGCCCTTTGCCATTTCATTTTTTAACTGTCACAAATACTGAACTCTGTGAAGGTAAGATATTGAATAACATGTTCATATAAAATCCAAACTGATTCTCATGTATCCTGATAATGTTCCAGGCTATAGGATGCACTTGCCAAACATTCACCCCAAATGTTAAAGCATATATATGCCCTTAACACAGGGCGCCTGACAGCTGGGTGGACAGCACTTCAGATCCATAGTCCTGAGGTTCCGGGTTTGATCCCCAGTGGAGGCGGAGACAAATGGGCAAATGTTTCTTTCACCCTGATGCTCCTGTTACCTAGTAGTAATAGGTACCTGGGAGTTAGACAGCGGCTACGGGCTGCTTCCTGTGGTGGAGGCCTGGTCGAGGGCTGGGCCGCGGGGACACTAAGTCCCAAAATCATCTCAAGATAACCTACCTCATTACTCCTCGAGAAAGTCTTTGAACTGGCTAGCACCCCAACTATTCTCTGCTACCTCATCGACAAAGAGGTCAAAGGCAACCTGCTCTCCGGAACCAAAAACTGTCTCATAAACAGAGAAGCGAAACTTCATGGCACAGTCTTTGAATGCAAAGGACATGAAAATGGTACACTACAAGGAAGCATTCTTAGCCCTCTACTGTTCAACTGTTTAATGGAAAGAATAATGAGGATGAAATTCCCACAACACTGCAGGCTGCTAAACTATGCGGAAGACTTTGTCATCTTCATAAAAGTAAGGGATGCAGTGCGCCTTGCACCAAAATGGACTTGCACCTGTACTGCATCAGTGAAGAGGCAAAGCAGATTGAGATCAAACTCAACCCACACCAAGACAAAAACCATTATTATGTAGAGGCAGTCAGATAAGTGATCGACTATGCAGCACCTGCACTCACAAGCCTATCACAACAACAGTGAAAAAGTTTGAAGTAGCACAAAACAATGCTATGAGAGCTGGACCAGAAATGTGGACCAGAATTGAAACTCTTAAGACTGGAAATGGGTTTGCCCTCACTTCAAGAAAGAATATTTCAAAGAACAGCTATGATTATCAGTAAGATAACTGTTACCCCTGATTCAGTCCCAGTATGACAGGCCTTGGTGGTTGGACTTTACCAAAACAATGGAAACTCTTGGGCTGCCAGAGCAGGAAAAGTCCTAAACAGACTACAATTAAAAAGCATGATTCTTGATAGAGGGTGATCATCCACACCCAAACTACACTTGTTCCCCGCCGTGGGAGGAGCCTACCTTCAAAATAGTAATAGAAGGTCTTCCGATGAAAAAGGCTGCCTATGATTCAACAATCCTAAGGCGCATCATAGAAAAGCAAATGAGCAGTATTGCAGTAGCAGGAGCCACCCACATCTTCACTGACGGATCGGCGGACACAGAATATGAGTGTGCTGGCGCTGGTCTTTGTACGGACAGCGAACAGGCATTTTGGAAACTGGGAGGACCAGTATCCTCAACCCAAACTGAGCTGTTTGCCATGCAACAGGAATTTGCATATGTGATTGCACAAGACACTCAAAATGCAATCATACAAACAGACTCAAAAGCTGCACTTCAAATATCAGGAAAAAAAGCAGTGGAAAGACAACGTGGAAATAATTACCACAATTTTGTATCTAGGAGTAGTAGATAAAGATAAAGGACTCAACATCACTAAACTGTCCACAAAAGAATCTAACCCAGTTTAGAATACATAAAAAACACCATCACCAAAATACTCACTACCTCAACAAATGCCATCTTCACCAGAGAGTAGCAGAAGGTTCGCCCTCTGCAATATGATATCTTCAGGTAACCAAGTTAGACAGGTTAAATATCCCAAAAGGAATCCACCAGGAAATAGCAGTTAGGTTATACTGACTATGTCTAGGTTACAGATGCAAGTGGGAAATTAGTGAACCCAGAAAGTGGGAATGCATCTACTGACAAACAATCGCATAAAAGCCACTACTTCAATATCTCCTGGAATGTGAAGCAATCAAGGACCTTAGAAGAGCTTAAAGTCCCTGAATCTTGCAGTAACCACCCTGAAGCCATCAACACTGCCACTTTTCTGGTAATGAAAAGTGTTTGGCACCCGGACGCCCTCATAAATTCTGTCATGCAGTATCCTTCCCCGCGATAGCCGCCACATATTAACGACTGATGATTTAAAGGCAAGCACAGAACACAGCATATCCTTTCATGACTGAAGATCACATTCATTCAAAAAAATCTACCACTTCATGCCCGTGACACTTCTTGGGTGGCTTAATCTTCATCAACCAACCAACCTCATTACTCCAGAGCTTTAAATATTATTACACCATGATGTCAGTGGCTCAGTCTGCAGATGCATAGATGGATCAGATAAGCCTTTACTTCCTTTACTAGCCTTTTTGGAAGATTTATACCAAGCATACTATCAAGATCAACAGAAAATAGAAAAAAATAAACATACCTAACCTCAACTGAATGGGGTACAATAACACCTCCATGAAGGGAAGAGGGGCCTTACTGGGCCACAAGCTAAGGACAATTCAAGGATCACAACCAACTGAGGTTGGGGTGCTGCACCAGCCCAATCAGGGCATGGCCCCAAGCAAGCCACAAACATATGGAGAGCAAACCTCAATATCTGCTTCAGTTAAATGGGGCAGCTCAAAACCTGCACCAGCCATAGCAGGAGACTGTAATGTAGTGTATCATCTCTTAACACACTACTGTAACATAAGCCATCAAGTATGAAGAGAGCTCCAGGAACCGAAGTCCACATTTGACACTGGTCACACACACAAAATTGAAATCAATCCTGCATCCAGCATGAGACATGCCCGAGTCAAAAGGGATGGTAGTCAGGGGATAACATCCAGCATGAGACATGCCCGAGTCAAAAGGGATGGTAGTCAGTGGGGAACATCCAGCATGAGACATGCCCGAGTCAAAAGGGATGGTAGTCAGTGGGGAACATCCTGCATGAGACATGCCCGAGTCAAAAGGGATGGCAGTCAGGGGATAACATCCAGCATGAGACATGCCCGAGTCAAAAGGGATGGTAGTCAGTGGGGAACATCCAGCATGAGACATGCCCGAGTCAAAAGGGATGGTAGTCAGTGGGGAACATCCAGCATGAGACATGCCCGAGTCAAAAGGGATGGTAGTCAGTGGGGAACATCCTGCATGAGACATGCCCGAGTCAAAAGGGATGATAGTCAGTGGGGAACATCCAGCATGAGACATGCCCGAGTCAAAAGGGATGATAGTCAGTGGGGAACATCCAGCATGAGACATGCCCGAGTCAAAAGGGATGGCAGTCAGTGGGGAACATCCTGCATGAGACATGCCCGAGTCAAAAGGGATGGCAGTCAGTGGGGAACATCCTGCATGAGACATGCCCAAGTCAAAAGGGATGGCAGTCAGTGGGGAACATCCTGCATGAGACATGCCCGAGTCAAAAGGGATGGCAGTCAGGGGGAAATCAAAATTCAATGCCAAACCAGTGGAGACACGAGAACACCTCTCAAACACAGTGGAGACACCAGAACACCTCTCAAACACAGTGGAGACACGAGAACACCTCTCAAACACAGTGGAGACACGAGAACACCTCTCAAACACTGTGGAGACACAAGAACACCTCTCAAACACAGTGGAGACACGAGAACACCTCTCAAACACAGTGGAGACACGAGAACACCTCTCAAACACAGTGGAGATACAAGAACACCTCTCAAACACAGTGGAGACACCAGAACACCTCTCAAACACAGTGGAGACACAAGAACACCTCTCAAACACAGTGGAGACACGAGAACACCTCTCAAACACAGTGGAGACACGAGAACACCTCTCAAACACAGTGGAGACACAAGAACACCTCTCAAACACAGTGGAGACACAAGAACACCTCTCAAACACAGTGGAGACACAAGAACACCTCTCAAACACAGTGGAGACACGAGAACACCTCTCAAACACAGTGGAGACACGAGAACACCTCTCAAACACAGTGGAGACACAAGAACACCTCTCAAACACAGTGGAGACACGAGAACACCTCTCAAACACAGTGGAGTAACGAGAACACCTCTCAAACACAGTGGAGATACAAGAACACCTCTCAAACACAGTGGAGACACCAGAACACCTCTCAAACACAGTGGAGACACAAGAACACCTCTCAAACACAGTGGAGACACGAGAACACCTCTCAAACACAGTGGAGACACGAGAACACCTCTCAAACACAGTGGAGACACAAGAACACCTCTCAAACACAGTGGAGACACAAGAACACCTCTCAAACACAGTAGAGACACCAGAACACCTCTCAAACACAGCGGAGACACAAGAACACCTCTCAAACACAGTGGAGACACGAGAACACCTCTCAAACACAGTAGAGACACCAGAACACCTCTCAAACACAGTGGAGACACAAGAACACCTCTCAAACACAGTGGAGACACAAGAACACCTCTCAAACACAGTGGAGACACAAGAACACCTCTCAAACACAGTAGAGACACCAGAACACCTCTCAAACACAGCGGAGACACAAGAACACCTCTCAAACACAGTGGAGACACGAGAACACCTCTCAAACACAGTAGAGACACCAGAACACCTCTCAAACACAGTGGAGACACAAGAACACCTCTCAAACACAGTGGAGACACGAGAACACCTCTCAAACACAGTGGAGACACGAGAACACCTCTCAAACACAGTGGAGACACAAGAACACCTCTCAAACACAGTGGAGACACCAGAACACCTCTCAAACACAGTGGAGACACGAGAACACCTCTCAAACACAGTAGAGA